GAGGGGTGGCTGAGAACCAAAGACATAAAGAAGGTTATTAAAACAGATCTCTCGATTGGGGTACAGGGTGAGAGGTCAGGCGTGACACCTAGGGGGTCATGCACACACTGTGGCCTTCCTGGGCGACTCATAGAGTGCTGCTAGGCCACTCACTGGGTGTCGTGCCGGCTGGGCCGTTACAATACTATTCGAAACTGTAAAGATTAATGACTGGACAGACTCCGAGCTTGTGTTTCTCAATGAGGTGGTAGATTTGAGATAGGGTAGTTGTTAAATACAGAGTTAAAACAAGGTCTATTAGCTTCAAGTTTCGAGAGCGTATCTCTTGAGTTCATGAATGCTTTGAGATTTAATGAAAAAAAAAAACAAAAACAAAACAGGAGACATGAAAACCATGCTGCATGAGAGCTCTTAAAGGCAGACTTTCAGGTTTTTATATTAGAGAGAATAAAGGAGGCTATTTAATAATAGCTCCAAGACACAAAGGGGCAACTGCCCCCCCTTGCCCCTCCCGAAATGACGTCCCTGGTCTAGGGAGGATGGAGCATACTCAATTCTGTTACTCTAAGTGCTCTGAAAAGAGAATAGGGTAAAGAATAGGGTGCTGTCGAGCCTACTTATTGTGCAACTCTGTTTCAATCGTGGCGTCCTCCCGAGCTACGTGACCACCACGCGCCAGGACGCTACATCCGTCACTGCTCAGACAGAATGTGGAGGACTGACTCCTCGCACGTTTGTCCTACGCCGTTCAACTTGTTCTGCACATTAACTGACTGCGATAGACACTTTCTCGTGCAGGCTGTCCAAGCCTTATGCCATTTCTTTAGGCCTAACCGGTGACTGTATACTACCGGTCGGAGAGATGACACCCAGGTTATATGCTGTTCGTATCCCTTGAGGTCAAGATCCAGGAAAGCTAACGGATACGCATGCTTTTTCTGCTGTAGGAAATATTCAAAATTCAGCATGAAACTTTTGATCTTTGCCACGTATTTTGGCAAGATAAATTAAGCCACTCCTTGCCCATGTGTATCAGCATTCCATTTTCCCTGTGATTAGATCGATATTTGTTTGAGTTATTGTCGGACAACCAAAGTGTAAGACATGTAGGCCACAGGCTGGGTGGGATGAAAAGTAGTCTCTTTCCTTTTGAGATAGGAGGCCCACAAAAAGTTAGAGGTGACATTCAGCATGACCTGGATGCCTTGAGTGATGGTTCCATGGGTATACCTCTTCTATTGACTTACCATTTCGAAATGTGTAACAAGGGCACTGCTTGCCCTTGACATTTTGGAATCAAAGATAATATTGAGATACTCTGGAAATTATACTGGATTCCCCTGACTTTATAACAGCTCATGCTCTTTCTGTGTTCTAATTTGAAAAGTGTAGCTCAAAATCATCAAGCACCCTTGATGATATAATGAAAGGGGAAGGGGAACAATGACATTATTTTGATGGCCTGGCATAGCTACAGTTGGTCACCAGGAGTCACTTCCCTCACTCCTGGTGTACTCAAGTTACTTTTTGCATGACCTTGCAGCATGACCCATCCCACTGAATACATGTGCCCACAAATAGTTTACACCATTTTAGAGATTCCTTATTTTTCCCTATGGAGTGGGACTATTTTGCATCATAATTATTGCTATTCAATTATATCCTTGATAAGACTTTTCATTGTATGTGAAAACTTTCTTAGTTGTCTTCCTTTTTTAGGTGAGCCATATGAAGCTGCAATTGAAACAAGTAAATCTGTGATATTGTTCCCCCATTAAAATGGACTTTGCCAGAGGGCAGCTCTCCAAGTATGGTTGGAAAGAAGGTATGTTGGCTATGATCCCACTTTCCAAGCCATTACATCTTTGAACAGATTTCTGTGGCATGTGAAGTGGATTGAAAGTACAGTGAGTATGAAACATTACTGCTTTTAGTTAGGAAGGATTGTGGAGAGCTCAGATATTGACATATGGCTCTGGCCAGATATTGACATATGGCTTACATGTGGGAAGGTAGGCCTATATTAGCCTACTTGACTGAGTATATAGTATCATCTGAATTTCTTAATTTCAATTGCCTAGGCAGCGTACACTCTGCTCTGCTCTTTATGAATTTGTATAGCATTGAACAGATGGTGTTCCTTAGGTAATGTTGACCTGAGGTTTATTTGGTTGTATTTGGGAAATGGGACATTATGGTGCTCTGTAGCAGACGCATATCTCACAAGACTGCTCCTCAAATAAATTTTTATTACAACATAAATTTTGAGAGAGAGAAAGCTCCTTCTGTAATGAGTATTACTGCCTGGTATGAAACCTAAATCTCCCTGCTTACATTTTTCAGGCAAGGGGTTGGGGAAAGATGAGGCAGGGATAAAGGAGCCTCTGAGGCCCAAGTTGAAGTTTGACAATAGTGGCATTGGTCATGATCCATGGAAGGAGTTGACATCAAACTGGTGGAGTGATGTCTATGATTCTGCTGCAGCAAAAGTCACTGTCTCCCCAGCTCATGTGAGTAGGCTATTTGATGCACTCACTAATGCTGTTACAGATTCCCCAGATAGCCCCAATCTACATACCATGGCATGGACTAATTTGAGAGAGAGGTCTAACAGGCTGGTGTCCTGCCTAATTCATGGGTTTTTCTCACTCTCTCCTCTTCCCTCTAGTATTTTATATTTCAATTTATATATTCTATGTCCACAATTTTATTTATTGCATGGATTTATTTACAATAATTGACTTTTTTGTTTTAATAGGACTACCAAGGCTAACTGAATGGTATTTTCTAAGCCCAAGTCATCTTTAATTTGGAAGATTACTTCTCTTATCTTGATATTCCCATTGGTATCAATATGCAAGAATGCATTTTTATGGCTCAGTCTTTTACATTAACCCTTTACAGGGCAAAACTATTCTGCAGGGAAAGATGAAGGTTATAAGCTGTTTATTAGCAATAAGGGACAATTTTCAGGGGTGAAACAACCCCAAAAAACTAAATGCTCCAGAACATATATTGACTTCTGTCAGATCAAATGCATCATGGCAACCAGTGGTATTATATTTTACTGCATTTGACTACCAAGTTGCCAAAATCACCCTTAGATGCCCTATGCTTGCCTATTGTGACTCCTAGCAAGCCAGCATGCTAGGAGGAATGAATTGTTACCTATGTTTACCAGTGACAACCCATGAACAGTGTAGGAGAGAGGGAGATGGTGTACTGTTGTATCAGTACCCTATAAAGGGTTTATATGTAGAAAACTGTTGCTAAACTTATGTTTGCCACATGGATGAGGTCCCTTATATTGGTCAGAATGTCAACTTACATGGGGTGAACAAAAAGCTCTAAGCCTGAGGCACTTCAGTTACTATACACCATCCTTATTCTCATGAGAAGACAGGTGTCTTAGATGGTAATTGACAAAATTTCAAAGTAATTATTCAATCAAAGGTAGCTTTTATGAATTTTTTTTTATTGTGCTACCAAAGGGTCTGTTGATGGGGCATTAAAATTGAGAGGAATGCAGTGATTAATTTTCTCACCTCTAAGGAGTTGATTTCCCTGCAGACCTTTCATAGAAGTATCAGTAGGACTCCATCTGCTGCTGCTGAAAGGTCTGCTGGGAGATTGACTCCCTAGAGGTTAGAAAATTCATCACTGCTTTCCTCACAATTTTAATACCCTGTCAACAGACCCTTTAGTAGCACATCGAAAAAAAAATTCAAAGAAGCTACCTTTAGTTGACATATATGATGCCATTTCGCCAATCACCATCAAAGATATCTGTCTTCTCACAAGAAGAATAAGAATTGTGCATTGCAACTGGAAGTGCCTCAGGAAATGTTATGTTTGTCTTTTATTACCATTTGCCAAATCAATGTTGAAACGTTTAAATTCATTCAATGAAGACATACTGAATGAAAGAGGTCTGTGCATTAGAGTATTTTGAAATGAACCCAAACATCTTTCTGTCTTTTTTCTGCCAAGACTCCTTCAGGAGTCATCTTGTAATTCCATGCTGAATCAAATAAAAAAATATGGAATACAAGGGGAGTTCAAGGTCCAATGGCACTTTATTTTCCACAAAAGCCACAAGAAGGGCCATGAAACTTTGTCTAATTTTCAATGTATTCCCCTTTTACATGTGTACACTTCTCCCATTGGTGGATAAAGCTTGTTTGCCTTTGGCAAAAAAGTCTTAAGGTTGGTGTTGGAGCCAACAGAGGACACAATTCTACATCTCTTCATCTGTCTTGAGTATCTACCCAGACAAATGTTTATTTTTAAGGTCCTAACATGTGGAAGTCATTTGGGGAGAGATCTGGACTGTTCCAAAATCTCCTAACCGCGTTGGTTTATGGTTGTGATGGTCATGTTCACTGAATGAGGGCAAACACTGTTATGGAACATTATCACACCTCTACTCCGTTGCCCTGGGTGTTTCTTGCATATTGCCTGCTGCACTGTGCCTTCCAAAAAATCACTGTAGTACTTTGCATCAACTGTTTTACTGTGCTCCAGAAATTCCACATGAATCACACCCAAGATTTCCTGAACACAATACCAGTGTCACAGCTATGCCTGGTGGATGTGCACAATCCTCATCAGTAACTGATTCACACCCATTTTTAAACATGTCACACCAACGATACACCGTTCACCTTAGAAGAGCAGCATTGCCAATCTGTTATGCTAATCTTCAGTGGATTTTGACCACCTTGACACCTTCCTTCACCACAAATTTAATTACACATCGCTGTTCCAATGCCGGAGTAATAGCGCCTGACGCCATCTTGTTTTATTCTACGAGGAACTCTCATCCACCCTTCATCTTCAGATCATACATCACCCAGTGTTGCAGCAACATTTATAAAAAATTTTCACGGCTCTTGAATTACCTGTTGCTTGTGTGGAAAATAAAGTGCCATTGGACCTTGAACTCCCCTTGTACATCATGTTTGTAACAGGGAATTCTGAGCCATGAAAGGGTAAAGAAAGGACTACTAGTAGGTAGCCTGTGCAGAAGCCCAGAATAATTTAAAGGCAACGAATGCGAATATGGCCATAGGGGGGAGGGTCACCATCCCCTGCCCCCTGGGAACCACCACTGGCTGGCCATGTTGCAAGAACATCCCTAATTTCTCAAAGGTCTGTCCCTGCACTTTGTTAATTGTCATATCAAAGGACAGGGGACTGACGCTGAGCAAAGACAAAGGGTAACCCAAAGGTCAAGGCTTTACCTTAAATTGTTGCTTTGTAGGACAATGTGGTATGTGGACTTATATTGGTGGCCTTATGCTACTCACATCGCAACCCACTGCACACGTTTCTGAACGTTAGTGGCCTTTGACCATGCCACATGTACCTGTTCCTATGGCTATGGGAGGGCACACACAATCATGCTATGTGCATGCATGTGTTATGTGTGTGCGTGCATTCCATCAACCACAACCACAGACCACAGTAGATTTTATTATGTAGATTATATAGAAGTTCACTGAAGATCAGGGAAGTGTTCAACTATTATTTTTAATGATGTATTTGAATGTTCATATAATATTCATAGATTTCCAAGCTCATGATTATGTGCTACTAACAAAATAGACATGCAAAATGTCATATGGGTGGTCTTCTGTAAACTTGGAGTTTTCCTATGTGAAACCTTGGATTGACACTCCTCTATGATCGAATGTTGGCATCCATGTGTTTAGGATGGGAATTTGGTCATCAGAGCAAGGATGAAGAAGAAGAAGCGAGAAAAGGAAGCACCAACCTTCCAGAATGGAGGCAAGGAGACAAAGAAGTCTTTGTACAAAAACTTTGTCAAGGTGAGACATTGAGCAGAAATGGCTGCACTCTTAAATATGTTCACGCTGTTAAAGGTCCTACGGGAAGATACAAATTGACCATCTTGGATCTAAATTTCGCTTTATAATTTTTGTTGGGGATCTTGAGAAAAGGCCTTGGAACCAATTGCTGGCTGTCTCAGGTCACACCCATGATCTGAGGTCAAAGGTCATGATTTGCATGCCTCGCTTTGAAAATCTGCATCTTCCCAACCCTCAGTCAAAGGAACATAAAATTTGCACCATTCTCCTTGGAACATATCACTCTAAATGGCAATTATGAACACATGCTTGAAACTGTCGTTCTTGAGATGCCATGGCACCATAACCGATAAATTTTCCATCACAGATGACCATTTTCCTTCGCCCTTTCCTCATAGACCCTATTGACAAAAGCATGCTTCAATTTTTGGAGGCCATCCTCATACATCTTTATGCGGAGTTGTGCATCATTTCCTCCTACCATTTCTCCATGAAGTTTGAATTTCCACCTGAAAATGCCACTTTTTTTTGGATGGGATGTGAAATTGATGGGCATTGCTCAAAAACAAGGCAGAATTTTAAAATTCCTCTTTTAGATCTCTTTAGCATGAAAATTGACATGAAGCTGATTAAGAGACTTGAAAATCTCTTAACCAATTAGGACCAGCCTTATGCATGTGCCACATGTGCCCCAACACAGAGCGCAAATTCACCAGGGGTACCCAAACGTGACTGAATGTATGAATTGAATGTCAAACTCAGTTTTACTTCAGAAAGTGAAAATGCCTTCCGTTTCTGCATCATTTTTGACTCTAAGGATTGACCCTTCTGGGGGGGATGAGGCCAGGCCTTTTGGAGTCTCTTTGGCTGGCCCTGAGGATAATATATTTAGGTTTTTATACTCAGGTCTTTCAAGACAACTATGAAGGATAGCTCTGCTGAATCATGTGCACATGTGTTAATTCTCCTTTGACCTATGATGACTTGACTGAGCCCATGTCGAAGAATTATACAGCACTCGGCTGCGTATTTTCTGCATGCCTCCTTTGCCAACGACCATGAACAGCCTTCCTCCATGGTGTGATCCCACGATTCAAAGGACACCTAAATCATCTTTCTAGGTAAACTGGTTGCTGAGTAGTGGGGTATTTTCTTGTTATGCTTGAAAGGGCCAGCATATGATGCGTGATCCCTCTTTCCTTTTCTCACCTGCTTCTCACTCCTGCCTAGACTTCTCATGCATGGGTGATGCAAGGTGCCAGCACACCTCTGTTACAATACTTCCTAAATGAAAAAAATTCCTGCTCGACTTGGAGTTTCCACACGCAAAGCATCCAAAATCGTTGAAACCTTGCATTTGTAACCTCTCAACCTGTCGTCAGTTGATCTTTGATGTGTCAAAGAGGCTTCAGGCCTGACCTTTCTTTGTCAGGTTATTTTAAAATTATCTTTTGTTTTCATTATATACTATCTTTAAAAAAAAATTGTATTATTTCTCTTGGATGGAAATTGGATGATGGCAGAAGGAGAATGGAGGTTTTGCCAAAATATTAAAACACTGACTTGTGTAATCAACTAAGACATCACATTGAAATCCTGGAATAGTTTGAGAATTATATGGTTCAGATTTCCTTGGAACTCGGGCCTTATATGGAAAGTGATCAGCTGTGGACAGAGCTGGCAAAATACTTATTGTTGATGCTGAGACCAGACTTTGTATCTTATGAACACCAAGATATCTTGATATTACCATTGTAATACATGGTAAGAAAAACTCTTCGTAGCTGGTGTGTTGAGCACTGCTCCTTGACCTATGGAGAGTGTCTGTTCACAGAGGTGCTAAACTTCTGAAAACTGTCTGGAGTTATCTCTACTGATGAATGTTTATTCTTAGAAAATGAATTTCGGAACCCTTCTTTTTCATAAAGAATGTTGCAAGAAATTTTGTGATTATGCGTTTCCTAGAAGGAGACACTGCATGAATTTGGTGTTGTTGAAGTAAATGGTTCCAAAGATGGCCATGAACATGAGCAGCCCACAACCTCCAAGATTGCACTCCCCTCTGATGAGGATATCTTGGAGAAATGCAAGGGACGCACCATGCACAGGTTTTCCATTCTTTCCATTTTACATAACATTTTCAACATGAAAAATAGACCTTCATTTCTCCTTCTTCATTTGTGGGAGTGTCACTCCCACAAATTAGACTTGAAGGTTAAAACCTTTGGTGCAATACAGGGTTCTTAGCCTGTATCATTTGAAACCTTACAACTAACAACAAGGAACAAGATGTCATAGGGTAACATTTGCCTGCAGAGACTCATGACATTCAAAAGTAGCAACATAAATAAGAATAGCAGGAACAGGACTCACCATTAGATTTCCTTCACCTGCTATAAGATTGTAAGATAATTGGTTCCAAATTATTTAGAACATGCATCCTTATGGAGAAAGATTTGGTTGCCATAGAATAATTTAATTAAATGAAAAGGTATCATAGGACTGTTTTCCCCAAGCAAAGAAACTTCAAACAAGGATTTGGTTGCAAGCCCTTGCATTCTGCTCATATATCCAGATCAGCAAGGAGCATTGCAAGCTAGTTCACAGGCCAAGATGACACAGGCACTCAAAACTCTTTGCGGCAACCTTACCTTTGCATAGAAAGAAGATGCAGCTTGATTCTATTTCAGAGGAAGGTAAACAAATGCTGTTAGATCATAGATTGCCAAAGACATGCCCTTCTGCATGCACCCTTTGGGCAAACAAACTCGTTTAATCTAATACATCTAATACTACATTATTTTACGTAAGGTGTGTCTTTTACATTGCCCCATGCTAATTCTCATTGCAGAGGTGCCCGACACGGACTGAATCAGACAGGGAAGCTGAAGAGGCTGAACTTGCAGGAGAGAAGGGATGTTTGCAAATCATCCTGACAATGAGGAACTTTTGTTTAAGATTTGTCCCTCCTTTTCAGTGGGATATGTTTTTGAAACAAGATGGCATAAGTTATTCATGCGCATAATACATTTTGGGTGGCATCCCATCATTTTATAAGGATTTATGCTTCACTTTGTAATATAGTTCTTCACACTCTGATGAGGGCACATATCCTCACTACCGCATGCAGGGAGGGCATATATGAGAAGCCTCTCTCCCACATGCAGAATTTGGTCCTTATGAACTCCTTCATGCAAGAAAGAATCTTCAGAGCTCTCACTTGCCTACAATGCTCTTAAGATGGATGTAAGAAACTAGGATTCCAAATTCCATTTATTGCATGAATTAACTTCTAAATTTATTTTTTTTGCAATGAATTTGAATGTAAATAGTTATATCTCTTCCTCGTGGATCCTACTTGAACTACATCATGCATTTATTATTTATTATTGTCAGTGCCTGTGAGTTGCCAAAAAAACCCTGAAGATTGAATGGGCAGTATTGGCTAATGTTACTGTTAGTAGGATAAATTATTTCCAATATACCATTTGTCATTTCAAGTAAAGATGAAAGGACCCAATTTGCAAGGAGGGGAAAGTTATGAAGTTTTATTATTTCTTATCTGAGTGCCTTCATGCTCCATGGCAATGGCTTATTTCAGGGAGTTCACTTGCTGCAAAATAGGTCCATTCTCAGATTGTCCACTGGCCCACTGTGTTGTCCGACTGGGGATTCAAGACACACTATGTGCCAGGGCAAGACGAGGACACAGTAAGGAAAAGTGGACAGCTATTGCCACTCAGCGTGGGAACTGGGGGACTCTTCCCCTCTACTCCTTACATCATAGCAGGGCACGAGGAGGACTCCACGACTGCTACTCATAGGGTAAAAGTTTTTGATTGTCCCCATCAAAAACATTTATCCTATTAGTCAGTTTGATAAATACATGGTGCGTGGAAAGTTCTGCAACCAAATTCTTTTGTGCTTGAATAACTTTTTTTGTTGTTGTTTGAAATTGCATTCATTATCACTTGTAATGCGTTTTTCAATAGTTTCCTAACTTGTCTCTTTTATATGTTTTTTTTTTTTACTTATTTCAACCGGTGATTTTGTCTTCAATTTATTTATTTTTCGAAAAATTTAGTTGCAGAACTTTCCACGCACCCTGTTGTTTCTTACAGATACTGCTCCCCTCTTTTATATTGTCTATGGAGGGACCTGCCTCGTGAGCTATTCTTAGAAGGGACAACCACGTCTTCACCTTAGCATTCCACCCACTTCTGCCTCAACAAAAAACTTGAATTAATTTGATTGAAAAGGCTATTTGGATTTCTCGTTACTGAACTAGGCAACGTGAGGGGCGGACTTCATAGCTGGATAGGAATTCGTCTCACCTACCCATAGGAGTTTTACCCCTCGCTAAAACAGGTGGTCGACGTGGATGACCCGTGCCGATATTTTCTCGAGGGGAGGAAGAGCGGAGCGTTTTCTCAGCTGGGAGGGCTCACGTTTTCATTCCTGGATAAAGAAAAGAATTCCAAGGCTATCCGTAAAGAAACGGTTGGAAGCGTTCGTTTTATTCTGCTGCAACATCGGCAGCAGGGACTTCGCAGACGCGAATCGATTTCCCTCCCCGACCGTCGGAGAATTTTAAGGGTGCAAAAAAAGCTCTTTGATGCATGCGGGACGGGAGAAATCCCACGTGACCTCTGGTATTTTAATATCATTTCAGCGCGAACCGGAAGCTCCTCCACTCTTTTTCACTCACCGCTTTGGATTTTTCTCGTCCAAAACCTCTTTCGCATCGTCAGCGATCCCGGAAATTTTCCCTTTTGGGATAGAAGAGAACCATGGAGCAGTTCCATCCCACGAGAGTTTCCCAGGAAGAGCTCCATCGTCTCGACTGTTCTATCTAGGCGATGGAGTATACGAGTGACACCTGAAGTGTTCCGATTCTTTTTCGTGAAAAAGTGTTTTGCGATGCGAACTGCTCCCCGGCCCCACGTCTTCGATCGGCACACGATCTCCATCAGAAGAAGATGCCAGTCTTTAGGAGAAATGTAGCGATTCAACCGCTTTTGTATTACCGGTAGCGTTAGCAGATGCAGGAGGGATTGCTTAGGTACTTCGCGAATAGCACTGATTTAGGTAAATAAATACCTAGAGTTAGGGTTGCATTTTATTGTACATTCAAATTAACTTGTTAACGTGATCGATGTCGAAATGCCTATTTCCAAAACGTTGTCGAAGATAAAAATAAATACATAAAAAATAGTCCGGGTTTTATCCATATTCACCACTTTGACCTTAATGTTTTGTGCTCATAACTATAACTTTACAATTATAAGTGATACGATCTTTGCTAGAACGGGGGTCAGTTTTTTCCCCACCCTGTGAGGGATATCTGTATAGTGACCGTTCTGGTGAACTTTCCTGCTAGGATACTCCAGCTGATGACATTTACAGTGTTTTTCACTTCAGTTAGACAATTTTTCACTTGACTAAGACACCGATGCGAGGGGTATTCAGAGAGGAGGCGAGGGCGCAGATGCCCCTGGTGACTAGCGCCATCTTTCTCTTCTTCGAATATTTAGGNGGGGGGGGGGGGGCCTTTGCCCGATTATTAAACTGCTATCAGACTCACCGGAACGCTGGTAAGAGGCTGCATGGCATAACATGAATTATCGTTAATAATTTTAATTTTACTATCGTCCCGATTAGTACTTAAGTACTAGCAAAAAGAAATTGTTCGCATAAAGTGGACGCTAGCCACAAAAAAAGCATTTTCTGTTTCTTTCTGTGTTCCCGTGTTTCATTCCGTGTCGCCCCGGGCGATCGCCCACTTTTCCCGCCCCTAGAAACGGCCCTGAATGACATCCATTCATTAATGGATGCATAAGGACAGTCTTAATTTTTTCTTATTGCCATTGAGAATCAGTTGCCAAGCACGTCGTTTTTTTCTCTATCTTTTTCTTCGTTCTACACGGTCTTCTTTGGACATCGGCACCAGTAGAGAGCAAACCTGTCGATGGTGCCATACCGGCGGTTGCCGAAACATCGGTATAGCCCTAGATTCAAGCGACGTCCGTGTAGAAAAATCACTTTGGGTTCACTTTGGGTCAAGTAAAGAGGCAAAATGCCCAAGGGAAGGTTAAAAATTAAAAAAAAACTCAAGCCTGCATACTAAAGAGAAATACAGGAATATAGAGAGGGGGATTAACCGTACGTTTCAAAATCAAGGGGCTATAAGCCGGCCCTGGCTATTTCGGCGCCCTGTGCAAAGAGATTCCCAAGGCCCCCCCTACCCACCACAAAAGGAGAAGGGTCAATCAAAAAATATTCTCCCGTTCCCTCCCTCTCCTCTTCCCACTTCCTGTCTCCGATTCCAACATTTTTTTCCCCCCCCCTTCCTTCTTTCATGCAGTCAGTCCCAGCACTTCCAGAAATAGATCGTGATAAGAAATTGAAAGCCCATGCGGGTCACGCCGCCTCTTCCTTTCCCCGCCCGGACTGTATTGTACAGTACTGTACTCGTCTCAATCCAATGGGGCATTTCCCATCAAACATTTTGCGCATACATTCCGATGGTCGAAAAAACTATCGATTCCTCCAATCATCGATAGTAGTATCGATGCATCGACCTATCGTGACAGCCCTACTTGATATCCAACGCTCAGTTGCAACGCGGCATCATGCCGCATATACGAGGAAAAGGTTGGGGGGGGGGGGGGGCCTTTGCCCGATTATTAAACTGCTATCAGACTCACCGGAACGCTGGTAAGAGGCTGCATGGCATAACATGAATTATCGTTAATAATTTTAATTTTACTATCGTCCCGATTAGTACTTAAGTACTAGCAAAAAGAAATTGTTCGCATAAAGTGGACGCTAGCCACAAAAAAAGCATTTTCTGTTTCTTTCTGTGTTCCCGTGTTTCATTCCGTGTCGCCCCGGGCGATCGCCCACTTTTCCCGCCCCTAGAAACGGCCCTGGGCATCATCGAGATAAGAAATCTTGGGTTTCGTTTGACGCATATAAATGCGAGGTCGAAACGACGTGAATCCCCAGATGTATTCCATGTTCCTGCCCTTGGTTTATTTTTTAATTTTCACCATTTCCTTCTAACTAATCTATTTTTGGCTTCTTTTTAAATCTCTTCTTTCGTCTCGAAACTTCACCTCTGAGACTTACGAACGAATTCACGAATGCAATAGGATTAAAGGTTTTAGGATTAATGACAATTCAGCCCTGTAAGATTCCCTTTAATCCGTCGATGTTGTGGAAGTGGAAATCCAACTCCATTCGTGAACTTTTGCTTCCACTCTTTCAACTCTTTCACTATGCCGCTCTGGATTCACCCCGAGGACGCACGCGGCAGCACTGCAGTCGAAGCAACGATCCCGACAAGTTTCTCGAGTCATTCTGAATTTCGCAGGACGGACCTAAACTTAATGTCTTTTCATTAAGACGTCAAATCCCTCGATGAATGACAACTCATCCGTTCAATTTTGTCTTGGCCCGTTTTTACCACTTATCACGGTCATTTTGTCAGTTTCTCCATCTGCTATCCTTTGACTCGTGTCCTTAACATTTTTATTCCTCTTTTTCTCTTTTGCTTTCTCCACGGTTTCGCTTTTCTCCTCTCTCTTTTTCCACGACCGTTTGTTGCAGTACGATTCTCCCCTTTTGCCTTGCGAGAGATTTAGGCGGATTGCGTTTACTTTGCGAAACTATGGATCCCTCATTCCTGCTTCCCTCTGAGACAGGTGGAGGATTTCAGACCTCTCTGGATAGCGGTAATGGCTTGGTTTAGGCTGCTCGAACGTAACTATACGTATTCATCTCGGTCTTGAGAGCCGGTCGGGGCTGAGATTATCATCGACGTTGTCTAGAGTTATCCAATCTGATGGCTTAGATGCAGAGAAGAAGCCTGTTCTATTTGAAACATGGCACACATATGCAGATTTGTTGTTTACATCTATGATGGCTGTTGGCGGATCAGACAGCAGGATGGACCTAATAAAGGATGCCCTCATCAGTGCATGTAAGTATAACGCATTACAGTAGCACCTATGAAACAAAAGCATTGTTCTGAATGAAATATGATTACTGTTTATTCCCCTGAAACAGAGACTCGATATCTACATTATAATACACAGTTAACCAAATCACCTATGAAGTCATATGAAGGTGAGAAGGGTCTCATTAACTGCCACGGTCTGTAGGCTTGAAATAATATATAACGTGTTAATTGATTAAAAAGGTACAGTGGATTGTGATGACGAGGAGGAAGCCAGAAACTACCCAATTACGTTTCTGAACAATTTGACGCCTTCAAGGATGGCTCCCTACGTTTTGCATCTCTAAGTTAGTGCCACTATTATACCACTGATGAACTTGAATCTGAGGAGAGGGCTGTGCAACGGAAAGCGCTTGGTTGTTTGTTACCTCCAGCGAAGCTTTGACGCTGAAACCACGGCAGAACTGTTCAAAGGGGAACGAGTACTCATCCCGAAGAACAATAGGGCTCCAAGTAATACTGGAGTACCCTTTACATTCCGCCGTAGGCAATTCTCCATCAAGATAGCCTTCGTTATGACCATCGATAAGACACAAGGCCAAACCTTTGACAAGATTGTATTGTATCTATCGTCTCCAGTTTTCAGTCACGGTCAACTGTACGTCGCCCTCTCAAGCGTCCGTCGTTTACCTGATGTTAAGGTGCAAGTCAAGGACACATATTTCAAAGGGAAGTTCTCAGGTCATGAGGACACATACATTCAGGGTAGGCCATAAATATTCACACCAAATCGAAGTCTTGAATTTCCTGTGCTAATAACTTCTCATGGAATCAATTGAATCCCAATAAGACAAGGGCTCACAG